GCAGACACTCCTGATGGACCGTCACCGAAACCATCCATTAAAGAGCATCCCCACGTAGAAATCATTCAGCAATTGCGGCACTTATGAGTATTTGCAGGCCCTCGAGACTTGTCAGTCCGTACCATCAAACACAGATGATAGATATTCGTATCAGAATGAAGTATCCAACCGGACAACCCTTATGCAGGATGCCAGAATCCGTCCAATCTGACCGGGGAAGCCGCAAAAAATACCAAGTTATAATTTCCGCCTAGACTTATCCTCTTACTGATCAGCCAAGGGATAAAAAAAATATCAGCAGGAGAGCCAAACACTTAATGAGCTTTGAAATTGTTTTTGCTTCACGTACGCCTAATTTAGTTTTTGCAAAAAAATCGAAATGAAAACGTTGCAGAATCGAATTGAAATCGAAAATATAAAAGGGAGAACAACAAATCAGGGAAAGTTGTCTTAATGCAGGACCATAAATTATGGGCAATTAATATGTAACACGTTAGATTCGAAATCGATTCGAAACAGCCTCTAAATGGCGACTCCTTCGGCCATTTGTCAGCAAGGATGTGGCCATAAAAAAGCTTACACTGCACCCCCTATACTTGGCCTACGTCCCTGACTGCTCTACTCCTTCACTTTCGCCATAGCTTTTTTCGGGTCCCTTCAGATAAATCACCATTAAAAAAAGAAACGCGTTTCGGAGTGGAATAGCACACATAAAATAAAATTAACTTAAAAAGCAAATTCTACCAGGGACATATTTTATGTGACAATGTCCAATTCGGCTTTGTTGGCTCATAACTCAATGGGCTAATCCTTTAAATAGGACATTCATGTTATCCCGCCTAGACGTTCACTGAGTTGTGACCATTAAAATGGAATTTATATCTAAAAAAAAAAAATAGAACGAGCAAAGGAAACTCTTTTCGCCTGTCTCCGTCTCATATTGATATTTATGACATTTGCAATGCATTATCGTTCTTATTGGATTGTTATTATTGTTATATATGATTGTTATTATCATGGCTTAGTTGGGAGGATAGGAGCATCATTATTTTAGTGTGTAGGAAGAATAGGTAGGACTTGTATAATATACATATTACTATATATTTGTCTTTTTAAAACATTTTTTAAAATAAATTGCTTTAAAAGGTTAAAACAAACATATTGTAGCCGACTTTTAGACTTTATTTTAATTGTTATAAAATCTATATAAATGTTATTTTAATATCACAAGTTTATTTATTATTTTGTATATCCTTTCAATGTACAATAATAATTCCGCATACCAAATGGTACAAAAATATTATTTTTTATATTTATTTATGCCTCTTTTTGTGGTTGGAATTCCTTCCCTTTGGTCAAATTCTCCTCCACACAATGCCAATTCAATTTACAGTTCATTACTTTTCATAATTTCTGCCTTCAAGAACTCCAGGACTCGTGTGTGTAGGTGGACCTCTTATACCGCGTGGAGGGGAGGCAGCTGTTCAAAAATCCCACGCAGCAAAAATACAAGCCCTGAGGGTTGATTGGAAAGTTTTCGTTGGCCCAGCCCAAATCTAATTGGACGCATTCGTTTCGGCTCAAACATTTGACATTTTTGCCCTCTAAAAAAAAAAAATACATTCTATTTAAATTGTTAAAATCCGCTTACGACGGGCTTAAAGGACCTTCGCCATTTTGTATGTGAGCTTCCGACACGTTTTGTATTCAAGTCTCAAGTTTCCTTTTTTCCCATTTGAAAATCAAATTGATCGGTTTAAGTTGTATACTAAGCTACTTAGGAGGCCTTAAGTTTCTATAAATGTAAGATGAGCCTGCTGCCGCGGTGGCGTCCTTTAAGTTTCGTTCGTTCGTTCGTCTTTGTTGCCTCTCTTATCAGAATTTATGTGTATTCTGTACGCTCCATTTCCCAGTCCAATTTTTCGGGTGGCACGGGAAATTGGAGGGGGGAAAATCGATAATATGCAAATATATTTTTTGCATCCCCCGCAATCACACACAAACACACACACGAGCGTAAAACAAACATGAGCGCGGCGAGTCCTAAGTCCACCGCCACCCCACATACACACACACACCAACTAAATAACTAAATACGCATTAGCATCCTGTCGGATTTTCCTTTATTATTGCGGCGGCCGTCGTCGAAACGAAAAAGGACGAGATGAGGCCGAGATGCGAGATGGGAGGAGACTCCTCGCGACGCGACGCATGTTGCACGCGCTCCTCCCGCACAGTGGGGCAAGAAGCCTTTGTCAGGCATTAAATTACGATAATCTCTCTTAAATCCCTTTAGAACTCTCAAATTTCAACTCTATTGGATCAATATTTACGGTCACAATATAGGTATTTGTATCAACGTTCTAAAAAACTTTTAGTATATTGGTTTCATAACCTTTAAAATTATAATATTATTAGCTGATAGCTACCAAGATGTAGGATATACATATATACAAGATATACAGGTGTTGGCTTGTAAACCCTACTTTTTTAAACTCAATCGGACAGTAATAACAGTCACAGTCTCTACTTATCTTAGTTAAGCTTCGCTGGAAAGTATGCAAGGCTTTTCCAGAACTCAAATTTTTTCCGGTAATTCTTTTTCAAGGCTGTTTTTACTAATTTTATTTATAATTATATAATATTTATTTAAATATGAAGAGTGTCAAGAAAATTAAAATTGAATTTATATTTTGTTAACAAAGCTTAGTGATTTAATTAAGTCATACTTAAAAAAAGTTAAGGGAATTAAAAAATGGAATTAATTATTTTAGAAAAGTTTTGTAAATGCTTTCATAATCTAAAGATTTTCAGATTAAAATTCTGGAAAATGTATTTAATTGTATAATTATAACTATAAAGAATGTCAAGCACTGCTTGTCTTATTTTCTCCACTTTTTTTCCAACACTTTACCACTGTTTAGCATCCCAAAAACCCCGCAAAAAAGAATGCCAAACAGTCCGAATGGCAACAAATTCAAACGAACGTGTATGCAGAGTGTGACTGAAAGCATTATTAATAGAGAATGTCGGCAGCTAAACTCACACAAGCACACACAAAGACGCACACACACACGCAAAAGGGATATAAAAGCAATAAGAACATTCATCTTCATAATTACGGGCAACGAAATGAGGAGAAAGCCCCCAAAAAAGAAAGAAAAGAGAAGAAGATGTGGAATATGTAAGTGAGGAAATTCAAATGAAACGGCAAAGTTTTGCATATGCGATGGGGTATGTGTGTGTGGTGTGTGTGAAGGTGTGCATGTGTGTGGGAGTGTATTTTGGGGGGAAGAGAGAACAGACAGCCTCTTCTGCTCCAAATACACTGTAAGATATTTCTTTAAGAACTAAATAATTTATGATTGAAGCGTTATCTATAATAGTCATTTACATAATTTTATAAATTATATTTTTAATAAATATAAGATATTAAATTAATATTTATAAAGGAATCCTCCCTCCATCAGATAATCTTGCCTTTCTCTCAGTGTAACCCGCCTCACTGAAATGGCCGTCTTATGGAAATGACAGTTAAGCTCGTCGACGCTGGTCACCCTAATGAACGCTCGAGAAAGCAGCTTCCTCTCGTTCGGAATGCAATCAAATGGAAATTGTTAAAGAAAAGCAAAAATGCCCGAAAGGAGGAACGTAAGCACGCTTGACTGGATTCCAGGACTTGGCATTTAACGAGGGTGCAATGCATCGGTCTGCACTAATTACGCACAAAACATGTCCGGCAAAACCGTGGAGTGTTGCTAGTAAAACGTATAAAATAAAGGGGAGATTTTTTTGGGGGAGTCTGGTGGTCCTGGTCCTCAGGCGGCGTCGCTGTTTGTCCGTTGTTTTTCCTTTCCTATCCTTCGGTCCAGTCGCTGCAATTTGAATGAGACGGTGTGTGCGAGGGGGTGTCGCCTGCACTTGGTATCGCTGACGGGTGGCTGGAAAGGTGGCAGGGGGCGGGGCCGAAAGGAATTAATTCTAATCCCGAACACGTTCCGGCGCAGACGGAGTGGTCAGTTGTGTGTATATATATCCATATATTCGACGTACATGGTGGGGTCTCAACTGTCGAAGGGTGCGTCGATCATTAGCGTGATTTCTTTTCGCCTTGACATCGATGGGACGATGCAGGAAAATCCGTATGACTGAATGCCACACTGAACATGGGCGCAGGAGTTGCGTCTTAATTTTGTTTTTATTTAGTAGCAACAAATTGAATTTGAGAATCAGAGGTTGATAGGGATTATTTTTATATAGAAATGGTAATTTCAATACTTTTATTGAAAATTTTATTTACAATTCTTACTAAATTACTTTAACTTAATCCTTAAATTCACGTCTTCTTGAGTTTATATTATTTTAATTAAAAAAAAAAACCAGACGTAGATATAACTATATTTTAAAAATATTTTTTCAGGAATTTTAATTTTTAATTTGAATTGAATCTCTCAAGTCATCGCATATTGCCAAAGGCTCTGTTTTTTACTTATTTTCATTTATTTAATATTAAAACATCGGCACAAATTTGTATAATTTTTGGAAATTTAAAAATTATAAATATAATAATTCTTTAAAAATTGTAACATTTTTTTGTTGGCCGTCATAGCTAAATTGCTTCGGCTGTTGATGGTGATCAAGAATATATATAATTTATAGGGTCGAAAATTACTCCTTCAAATTTAAATATTTCGGACGATCTGGCAATGCTGATCGCTCATAAAAGGAAAGTCTGGCAGCTCTGCTGCGCTGCCAGACTTCCCGTTCACGAGCCATCAACGCTGCCAGACTCCACTTTTATGTGCATCCAAGTTCCCACCCTTTATTTTAGCCAAGTTCCACACCGTCGACTTGGACCCTAAAAAGGTAATTTTTAGGGCATTTATGAAATGGCCGGATGGTATTTCTACGGTCACACTGGTTTTTTGTATCGCGGTCACACTGGTCGCTGGTCTCCGTAAAAATTTCAAGGTGAAAAGAATTTTAGTTTTGTTATTGATAATAGCGAGAGAGAAACGCTTTAAAACATAAACTATCGCGGAACGATTCGCCCGATTATAGGACACGCGGTGCTGGCGAATTCGAATTTGTCGAAACGGGAAAAAAGCGAAAAAGGCTGAGAGGCCAGCGCAAAATCGAAGAAAAAACTGTGTATGTGCGTGCGTGTGCTTGTGTGAGTGTGACGTGTGCGTTCGCTGTATGTGTGTGAGAGAGCGAGGCAGCGCTAGGTGGTGCTTGTGTGTGTGCCACTGCTGCTGCTTTGGCCGTGTGTGTGTGCGTGTAAATTGAATAAGAAAACGGAGCACAAAAGGCACTGATGGAAAATTTATATGCGCTGAAAAATTAATTTATTTGCAAAAAGCCAAATAGCTGCAAAATGTATTGTGACAAGCGGAGAGAATTGCGAAAAAGTTGTGGATTGCCGACTCTCCCAAAGAAGAGAGATAGAGCGAGCGAGAGTGAGAGACTTGTATGTGCGTGTTTGAGTGTTGTTGGTGTGTGTGCGAGCCGCCTTTGCCAGGAAAATAGGAAAAACCTCGCCGAAAGTTTTGCAAAAAAAAAAATTGTTGAATTCGATTGTTTGGCGATTTCGTTCGTGCTCGTTTTTTGCACAAAACTTTTTTCGCCAATCTTTTATGCACGCTTATTCGTTTATTTAATACCTCTCGCTTTGCTCTCCTTCTTTCTTTCTCTCTTTTCCCCATTGCCATGCTCTCTTCCGCTCTCCGGCTCGTGGTGCTCTCCGGCAATCTCTCTCTCTCTGTGCCTCTCTAGTTTTTGCTTATGCCAGCCAACTGTCAAAACTGTCATTTACCTTCCTTTTGTCCGATTAGCAAAACGCAACGAAAAACTAAAATCCAAACCGAATTTTAAATTGTCGCCGTTCGGTTGTTGTTATTTTTTATACCTCGCTTTATAAACAAGTTTAATTTCGCGTAATTCGGAACGAACGAAAGATAGAGAGAGGTAAAATCTGAAAATTGCCGCAACAAATCGATCAGATAATGAGCACCAAATAAAAAGTACAAGAAATCAAAAGAAACAACACGGAAAATTCAATGAAACAACGCGGAATATACTGTGCAGAAATTGTGTAATTGTGTGTCTGCTTTTGCGAGGTGTGCCTGTGTGTGTGCCCATCCTTTTTGCTCTTCCTCCTTTCCCCTTACTTTCGCACTGATGTTGTGCAGCTTGCACTTTGTACCTTGGAGTTTCCACTCTTTCATTCTTAATACTCATTAAAAACGAAGTAAATAAGTCTCCTTCTCTCTTTTTTTATTGCCTTCTTTTGCCATTTGCTTTTGTTTATAATGTCAGCTGGCTGAGTTTTGTTTATTTTGTGTTTCTATTTCGCCTTGATTGTTTTGTCAAGTGTCTTGTTATTCTCCTTTTTTCGCAAAATTTTACTTGTTTGCAAGCCGATATTATTGTTAATAATTTTTTTTTGTGTGATTTTCGTAAGAAATTGGAGTTTCAAAATACGAGTTATTGATTTTTCGCTTAGCTCACAAGTGCTTTCGTGTATTGTTTATTTTTAATAAGGCTTGGCCGTTCCAGTAACACACCAAATGAAATTGTATTTCGTTGTTCAAGTTCAAGTCAAAACTAAATCGTATTTGAATATTCCTTTTCTTGAACTCTCTTCCCTTTAATGAATATGAATATATCATTTCTACTTTGGTCTTAAACCAGTCTCAATATTTTTGCCAAGTATCGATAACTCTGATTGGCTTTGCCCGCGCCCTTGAACCCTTAAACAACATCATCTCAAAGGCTGTGACGATCATCCCTCCGATAGGATCTCAGATTTCAAAAGACAAACAAACTTCAGCCCAGAGCGCCCCTTCTTGTTGGCCCGCGTGGCAAAAGTTTTGCTTCCTTTGCAATCTGGACTACTTTGTAATAGTCACTGGACTATAAGTTTCTGTTTGGAAATATGATACGGTCCTGACTCCGCTCGGCACATGGCACAAAAGTTTGGCAGCTTATCCAAAGGCTTAGAGTAAACAACTTTTCTCATTCGCTAAAGATCCCAACTTTTTTTTATAAAGTAGTTTTAAATATGAACAAATAAGCCTGGTTTTCATAGACCTAAGGTACAAGGAGATAAAATGTATGTGCAGACAGTCACGTCTACCAAACACGGTTTCAATCCGCCCTCCTCACACATCTTTTGTACTCGATGTTGTAGTGTTCTAATTTATTTATTTATTGGTTTCACTTCACTTATTGTTATGGACAGTGTTGCAATCAAGACGATACCGATCAGCTGTTGGTTGATTAGACTTTTCTAGAGTTAATGAGAAGCTTAGTTAAACTATTTTTGTAAATAATGAATAGTTTAATACAAATTTGGCTTTTCTTTGATTGCTTTATGCCACCCAGCCTCTTGTCTAGGGTATTTTCACATACGTAACATTAAGACCACATTTTCCTGTTTCCTTTTATAGCTTTTATTACTTAAATTTATACTTTCAACGTCTCAATTCGATTGAACAATTTTATTTGATTCGATATTGTATCTGAGTATCTCATGGATGCAGCATTGTCATTGTATCTTTGACTTGTTGTTGCTTCATCTGTGTCGCCTTTCTTTTCTCTGGCTGTTTTATATCGTTTGATAAACATTTTCATTGCCTTCTCGTGGTCTCTCGCTCTCGCTTCCCATTTCTCTTTCGGGTTCTTTCACTTCCTCCTACAACGCCTTCGTTTTTCTTTTCCTTTCGTTTTCCTTTTTTTTTTTTGCACTGTGAATCATTTCCTTAAGGAGAGGAAGAGAGGGGCGAGGGGATGTCCTATTAAAAGGCAGATATGGAAAGAGAATGAAACTCGGATTGCAAAGTTTTTACTTAAAATATCTGATTATTATTGTGATATTATATGGAACAACAGTAAACTCTCTAAAATGAACAAAGCTTTAAACAAAATTCGCTAGAATTAATTTACACAGTGACTTGACTTTTTCAAAATAATATATAGTAGTTTTTTATTTTTAATTTACATTTTATAATATGTTTAACTTTTCTCCGATGCACTGCAAACATTTTTGGTACATTTTCCCATCTCGCTTATTTTCTTCTTCGGCTGCTGCTATCATCATCAATATTGATTACCGGCAGCTGTCCGCGAGAGAGACAGAGAGAGCGGCGGTTGCTCTCCAATTTGCACTTTTTTCGCTGCTCCTTTTGCGGTTTGCTAGGTATGCGGCCTCCCCCCGGCCTGCCCACTTGTAGGCGCCCACGTTCAAAGGAAGAATAAGTAGCAGAGGCAGGAGGTAGTGAAAAAGGAGGAGAGCGCCAACAGGCTCCCGCTCTCTCTGTCAAATTGCAATTTGCTCAACGCGCATTCGCTTGCTCTCTGTATTTCTCTCCCTCTCCGGTGCTATCTGTTGTAGTTGCTTTTTATTACATTTGTTGTAATTGCTTCGGCTGTTGTTGTTGCTGTTGGTGGCTTGCCATCGATTTTATGCTTTGTCGTTGCAATTAGTTCTTCTTCTGTTGCTTCTTTCTTGTCTGCACTTTTAGTTCTCATTTGCTTTGCCACATCTCGGCGCTCTCCTTATTATTGTTGCTTTTGCCTATTGAGGCAGTCAAAGTGAGAGAAGAGAATAAATCCTATTCTCTCCTTGTCTACTCTTTCCACCTTGTTGTTGTTGTGTTTGCGAAATCTGGTGCCTACAACGATACTTTGATTATCGGCTATAAAGGGTTAAAAGGGGTCCAAGTCGATTGTCTAGATTCTAGAAGTTGAGTTATTATACAAATGGCTTCTTAAACAAGGTGGGGCCGAATAGGGATTGTAAAGGATTGAATCCTTAAATTAATTGCTTTATGGTAAGGGTTAACAGTGTGGCCAGGGCGTGGAGAGACCGAACAGATGCATCAGAGTTCTACTGAAAAAAATAGTGTATCTACGAGATCAATTAAGTTTGTTTATATACTTTTCAATTATTTGTTGTTAAAATACAGATAAAAAAAGTTAAAATTTTTGCGTAGTTTTTTTTTATAATATACATTTTTAACTCCCTTACCCTAACGATCTCCGAAAAGTATTCAAATAACCAGAAGAGGCATCATTCAACACCTGTGTGGCGTGCGTCTCAAGAACAAGGCCAATAGACTCTTAAAGACCTAACAAACACCAGAGCCACAAAAAAGCCACCTTGACAGAGTGCTACGACCAATGTTGACCTATAACTGATTTTTTTCTCTCTTGCACGGTTGTTCTTCGGGTTTGCTGATTTTGTGGCTTCTATCTGTGTTTTTTGTTTAGCTAATTCCTCTTTTAGCCACGAAATAATCAGATTTTTTTGCGTCGTTTATAACTCGATTAGGCAAAAGAAATAAAACAAAATTAAGCTAGAGAGAAAGAGAATAAACGAGTAGCGTCAAGGTCTTGACTTTGCCTTCTGGCAGGGCACAAGCAGAGTTCAAACGTAACTACAGGAATTATTCGAATATATGTGCATATAGTAATTTGGAAATATAAATCTACTTTTACACAAATTTCATCTATATCTTACCCATATAAATAAAGGGAATTTTAAGTGTTACATTTAATTTTTCACTGTTATATTATTATGAAAATAATTAGCACATTGCAGTATTTCTAGAAATATTTTTAAATTTTCTCACAATTTTCTTCTACTAATTTGAATATATTCTGAATAAATAGCTCTTGTGGAGTGAACACTGTACTGGCACACACTTACTCACAGTCTTTTCTAACCAGTCCACGCAATTTATGAATGATCGTCAAAGCTTACGGTTATTAACCAACACAAGTACGCATAAAAAGGGGGAAAAAAACCGCGCGTGTGCCCCGAAAATGTTTGCAAACTTTTTTGGCAACTTTTTTTTTGCGTCGACTCACTTTGTGACTGCCGTTTATCTTTCTCTCATTTCTGATTTCCGCAAATGAAATCGATTAAATAATGAGTGGGAAAAAATCAATGCCGAAAGAAAAATAAATATTTAAATACTCAATTGCAAATGCAAAAATAAATAAGACGATAAACAAAAAGAAGCAACAAGAGAAAACGAGAGGAAAAAGATATATATTTTTGCACAAAAAGTTATTAAAGGCAAACAAACAATCGGGTTTTTTGCGTTAGTTCGGAAGGAAGCCCCTTCTTCTAATGTAGCACTTAACTAATTCAACAAAACTACGACGTACCCCACAACTCAGACAACTCAATGAAATCAATAATACAAAAAAAAAAAAAGGCGAAACAAAAAATAATGAAAAACACACAAAAGCATCATCAACAACATGGTCATGATGATGATAATAAACGAACATGAACTACGCAGTTATGGAATTTAACTAGATACTTATAGAAAATCATCCAATACAGAGAGGCAGCAGGTTGGGTTTAAACCTAAGGCCAGATCCCTAAAGATATGTAGATATTTGTTTAATCCGCTGAAAAATAAAGTTTGATAATGAAAAACATTGATACAAATTTCTTAGAGGAACCACTAATATTTCATTTGTTAAGACAATGGTCTTATCTTATCTTATCTTTTACTTTTTAAACTTGTAAATGATTACGAAATGATTACTTCGTTTTAAGACTCTTGCAACATTAACCGTTTCTTCTTAAAATGTAACCATTTAGGTCCAATTAATTAAGCAAGAGCAAACCCTTTATTGAGTAGACCATTATTAATGCTTGGCCACAATTTTAATGCATTTGTGGTAATTACCCAAATGAACGCTTGACAAATGTTTTTCCACTCGGGGGAGGTCTTCCCCGTCTACCTCACTCTTTCTCTCTCTCTGTGTCTCTAGCCCACGTATTACGTATACGTCGCGTTGTTCAGTGCAATTATTTACCTTATCCCTTGCCTTTCACCTTCCGCCTTTGCCTCGATCTTTGTGTGTGTGTGCCGGGCATATTGCTTCATGGGCATTTAATTTAATAAACAAATAGTAGAAAATAATATTTATGTTTAATGAATACATATATATCTTGTTAATTGGATTTAATTCTGACTGTCTCGGTTTCTTTCTGCTCTGCTGTTTCACAGGAATTTCATTTCTACAATTTACTGCAATGTGCTAGTAAACGGAACCGAAGAAATTGATTAATTCTACGAGAAAGCCAACAACAAAACGGAAATAAAAGATAAACAAAGAACCTGTGCGTGTGGAGAAGGGAGATGACAAGAAGGAAAAGTGCAACCCATATAAGTTATATAACATAGAAGCCTAAATCAAATCCTTAGTTAACCAAAATCACCGAAATATTTTCATAATCAATAAGTAAATATTTTAAGTGTGTGCCGCCATCGTCTTCTCTAAAGTCAAAGTCCAATCTTTTTAAAAACGTTACTTAAAATATTGAAATCAAATCGAATCGAATCAATTTGGAATTGAATCGATTAACCGATTAACAGCTGTGCTGTACACATGCACCACCTGTGTGTGTCTGAAGGGGTGCGCACGTGTGTGAGTGTTTCGTGGCAAGAAATATAATACACCCAGTATAAATTTAAACAAAATATTTAACAAAAGGAAAAAAAATTAAACAAAGCCAGGCGCTAGATGGCGCTGTCGCTGCCAAAGCCAGCTGTGCTCAGTGTTGTTGGTGTCCCACACACCACTACTAATACTACTAAGATTGTTGTGGCTGCCGCTAATAAAACGCGGAAAGGCAAATTATAATAGCATCCCCTAAATTAATTTCAATTTATTAGCCTAGCCCCAAAACCAAATCAACTCCCCAACAACTACACAAACGGAAAAAAAAAATAAGAAAAGAAAAGCCAAGTAGAAATAAACAAGAGTTTCGCGTTACTTACTGTTGTCGGTTCAAACTGCTTCGCGTCGTGATCGTCGCGATCGTCGCTAGTCCTCGTATCGGATCGGAACGGAACGGTATATAGTACGATATAGTGCGGTGTACGTATCGGATCGGATCGGATCAGTTGGCAGTCGGTGGCACCTGACAACGCAACGCAACGTTTAGACTAAACCTAACCGCTATTATGCATCGGTGTCGTGCTAAAATCGCATTCGAATTGGCGGGCAAGCAGCAGAAGCAGAAGCAGGAACAACAACTGACAGCTAACTAGCCAAAATAATTCAAATAAAACCATAAAAACAAAAACAACTAGACAAGCAAAAAAAAAAACTAATTAAATAAACCCTAGTTTATATCGAAACATTTTTCCGTGGCCCAAATAATCCAAGAATCGTCAGCAATCCTGGATTATTTGCTAAAGACTTTGCGGACGCTGAAATCCAATTCGATTATGGCCGAGAATCAAAGTGCGGCCAGCGAAGATTCGGGTCACCAACAGCAACAGCAGCAGCAGCATCAGCAGCCTCCACTAGCCAGCACCTCCTCATCAGTCAACGCAGCCAGCGCAGCAGCATCGACTTTAGTTAATCAGTCGCCCACTAACTCGCAGGCATCTTCGCCGGAAAACTCACAGGAAGCCCTGCCCCTTGTGCGCCGCCAGCAATCACCAGCAGCGACTGTTGCAGTAGTCGCCACCGGTAGCAATACCCCGCAGCAGCAGCAACAGCAGCGCAGCAGCCTCAGCAACATGTTTGATCGCACGGTTAATGCCAAGTTCAAGACATCGGCTGCCAATGCTGGACCTGGACAAAATCCTGGGCGCAGGAACTCCATGCTGACACCCGCCAAAGGAGCCAGTGTAGGCGGCACTGGCGGCAACATACGCAAGCTGACCAAGGTGAATTCGCTGACCAGAGACTATGCCATGTGCTATGGCCCCAACATTTACCAGAACAGCAACAACGCCGGCAGCAACGCATCAACCCTTCAGCGTACCACTAGCGAAAGTTTAAGGTTAAACTCACTTAAGAGTGTAACCCGGGCCAGCAGCAACACTAGCCTGCCCACGCCTACGGCCATGTCCACCTCCACATCGCTGGCACCCAAGTCCAGCAGCAGCAGTGGCAGTGACAGCAATGCAACCCCACAGCAGCAGCAGCAGCAGCCGGCTAGCGGCAACAGCCGCAGCCGTGGGAGCAGTGGTGACAAGGCCAGTTCACCCAACAACAATGGGGCACGCGCTGTGGGCGGAGCAGCAGCAGTAGCAGGTCCAGCAGTAGGCATAGGAACTGCCAGCCATCACCATCAGCCACATCACCACCATCATCACCATCATCATCACCAGCATCACCACCACCAACAGCAGCATCCGCACCAGACTAGCCTCAGCCAGGGACACGCCTCGTTGACCGTCGCCGGCATAACTAGTGGGGCCTCTGGTTCCGGATCTAGCGGCGGCTCTGGTGCCGGCACCACCACACGCAAACCAAAGACGACTTCCTCATTCGAGATCACCTCGGTGACCGTAGGTCATCCGAAGCTAAATGCTGCCGGCGATACGGGAGACGAGTCGGCCGATGATCTGGACGAATCTCACACGGATGATAACAGTCGGATAACGGATCTGGAGAACGAGACGCCCTCAATGTCGGAGGACACGTTCTCCAAGGAGGAGGTCTACTATGCCAACAATGCACTCAGCACGAATGCCCCGGTGATCCCGACCAGTTCCCAGTACGGTCTGGTGGTTGTGGATCCCATTGGTCCCTCGCTTGGCCAGACCATTCAAAATGTGCAGGTGAACGTGTCGGATAATATCATCAATGTGGTGAGTGCCGCCGTTACTCCCGGTGGCACCAAGAAGAAGGACGACATCAAGGAGACGCAGCATCGCAGCGAGCGGTTTAAGGTGGTCAAGATCGAGTCCACGGAGCCGTTTAAGCGGGGTCGCTGGATGTGCATGGATTACCTGGACCACTCCAGCGTGGGCAGTGGTAATAACAACGAAAAGACTGGTTCTTCTTCCGAGGCCACAACGGATGGCGTTGGTGGGTCAGATGCCCCGCCACAAAAGACCACCCAGAGCATGATCCTGCCGCCAACCCAGAAACTCAACGAGAATCACCTGGAGGCCAACTCGACCGATGCCAATTGGAACTATGCGGAACAGCAGTCGCAGCAGCAGCAATCGTCGCAGCAGCAGCACCAGCAACACTCGCAACAGCAGCAGCAATCCTCGCACCAGCAGCAACAGCCACAGATGAGTGCCACGCCCAGTGGGGTGATGACAGCGCCGGCCACAGTGGTGCATGGGATGCACCAGCTGCACATGGAGGCCCAGCAGCAACAGCAGCAGCAGCTCTTTGACAGCGTTAATGCCAATGCTAGCTCCCCCAATCCCCAGTCCGTGGACACCGGCAACATGGGCTATGCTCTCACGGCGGCCATGCAGCTGCAGCAGACGTTGCAGCAGTTGAAGCAGCGCGAGGAGGCCATGGAATCGGGCTATCAGAATGGCGGCGATGTTGCTGCGCCCAACAACAACAACAGCGGAGGAGGAGGAGGTGGTGGACCACCAGCAACAGCAACAACAGAATCGCAGCTAAGCACCAGCTATGTGGAGCAGCAGCAACCACTATCGCCGGTCCCACAGACACCTCAGATCACGCCGACATTCGCAGCTGTGGCTGCCGGGCAAGCAGCCCCCAACTTCCAACTGGAGCAGCAGCAGCAGCCTCAAGCCACATCCCAGATAGATGGTATACTTCCACAGTCATTTCCCCAACAACAACACCAGCAACAGCAGACCCCACAGCAATCGACACCACAGCAACAAGCCCCACCAGTAGCAGCAGCAGTAACGGCAGCTTCAGCAGGAGCAACTGCAGCAGCAGCCCCTGCAACTCAGCAACAGACTTCAAACACTTCCAATGCAGCGGTGACCACTGGCCAGGGTCAGACATTGCCGCTGTTATCACACATGACCAGCTACGAGCAGCAGCCATCAGTAGCCGGAGCAGGAGCAAGTGCACCAGGAACAGGCACAGCAGCATCAACGGCTGCTGTTGCCCCACCAGCGATTCCCACGCTGCATTTGCAAAGTGCTCCTGCCACAATTGCCGATCCCCAGCAGTTGATGGTGCCGCAGCAGCAACAGGATGAACATCAGCAGCAGCAACAACAACAGATTCCGCCAACAAATATCGCGAGTGCTAGTGCCAATAATAGTAATCTAAACCTAACGAATCCGAATGTTGTGGCCAACGCAGAGCCAACGAAAAACGCGCTGACCTTGACCGATGAACAAGTGAACGCCGCAACAACAGCAACAGGAGCTGCAGCAAAAGCCGCACCAGGAGCCACATCGACAACATCAGCAATGCAGCTACAACAGCTACAACAGCAACCAAATGCAGAATCCGAGACTGAAAGGTGAGTCACATGGCAAATATAATCTTTATTGAATAGTTTTATTCAAAAAAAAATTTCTTGGAATTGGTAAAACCATTTCATTGGGGATTTTCTAAGAAACTGATAAGAATAAATACAAACAATTGGTAAAATTTTTGCAATATAAAAGCATTCTGAAATTGAAAAACGTAAAAACTGAAAGGAAATTATCAAAAAAATAATTATAATTGAATTTCATCCAAATGTTTTCGTTTAAACCTAAAACCTTTCAATGGAAAATGGACGACGCTCTATCTTATCAGTTTTTCCCATTTTCCGTTTCAAATTGAAATTCTACGCGTTCGATTCATTCACAAAAACTTGTGATCACATTTACGACTGGAATTTCAGTCTTATCTCAAATAGTATTGGACTGATCAAATATTTACACAATTTAACACAAGACGCTGCCGCTTTGTCTACTCTTTTCTAAAGAGGGGAAGAGTCTTAATCAATTAAGACAAAGACAAAGGAGCGGCGGACCCCAAAAGTTATTTATGGACGGCAAAACCGGAGACTTTGGTTTGCATTTGACTATTTTTAGAACGCACAAAGCGTTGTTGTTTGAACAAGTTTTGAGAACGTCCGATGGCCTGATGGCTTGTTTAGTGCCCTCCCCTTGTAAATATTACACTGACTTACACATTTTAACTTGGAGATGGGCAAGGAAAAGATTAGCTAAAAACTCTTAAACTGCAAAATAAGTAATTATTTTTTAATTTTTTATGCCTTGAATATGTAGTACTTTAAAACCCCATAAAGCAAATAAAACACGTTAAATTTTAGTACAATTTCCATGTAGGCTAGTGTTGTAGTCTAGGGCTAGTTTCAGGTTCGTTTCAAATCGCTAAAGTGCCAACACGCGCCGCCTTCTCTTTCCCACTGTGGCTTAGCTGTCTCTGTTTCGAGCACAAGAAATAATTTCGCCACTCAAATAATTTGTTGTTGGTGACTTTTATTTTGTTGTTTTATTTTTATGTTTTTTTTTTGCTTTGTTTGTTTGCAAATTCGCCGCTACGTCCATTTGCTGGAATTGCTTGCTTAGGCGGGAAGCGTAAAAAACCGTAGAGCCAGAGAAAGACCGTTGAAATAGTAAAAAGAGATGGAGAAAGAGGGAGAGACCTCTAATAGAGGGTAAACCTCATTATAATAATTTATTTAATAAAAATTCATCAATGAAATTAGCCATGGAATGTGTTTAAACTTTTTTTTTGTGAGAACCAATGTGTGATTCTGTGGGGGCGGTGGCTCAACAATAGCAAAAACAACACGTGCGTGACACAAAAGGTCGCTTTAATTAAGTTCGTTTTAAAGCATACAAAAGTTTACTCAATTGCCATACACTGCAAAAATACGCTAAAATAGTAAATTGGCATTAAAGATATAAATTGAAGAAAATTACTGTGATAAATTGTAATAATATTCAAGGTTTATTAGATTAATTTAAATGTCTTCAAGTCTGCATGAATTATTTCCCTCGATTGGAAAGATTGCAAAAATCTACAATAATCCCTAATAAGTAATTTTAATTCATGGACTGTTCGGGGCAAAACAATAAACTGCAAATTGCATTAATCTTCCGTAAAGTATTACCAAATTATGAACGTTTTATTAAACAATAAAATGTTTTCATCACCAGCTGTTGATAATCTCAAAGCTTTATATCTCTAGAGTGTTTCCAAACTCATTGACCAACTTTTTTCGAGCTAAAACTTGGTGACACTTTTTTTTATTGGTGCCCCCGTAAGGCTGCTGATGACTAATTTGTTTGCCATAGAAAGAGCTTATTGGATGACTCACTATTTGGGGGGTTTTGCATTCATTCGCCGGCTAAATTGAAATGATTAAAACCTACATAGGAGGGAAATGCATAAAAAGCAGGGGATTATTTTGCAGTAGTTTACATTGAGCGAATGCCAAAAGATTAAAAACAGAGAGGGACGAGAGGAGACCAAAGTCAAGGCAAGTGAAACATGTGTGCAGATACTGAGATATACAGCAGAAGCTGTAGTAGATACAAAAGATATGTGTATTATATATTCTTGGCAGATTGCGCATTTGCGTGTGACGAAGAGCGGACGGAGTCAAGTGCCTGCCTGCCTGGCTGCAACCCCCTTGGATTCTCGTTTCTTTGTTTTTTTTTTTCTTCACTTCCCAAAACGAAATGCAACTGGAAAGATATGTAAAAAAAAGGGGGCTGAGACTCTGGCAGCAGCAAAAGGCAAATTACAATGAATTATGTGGCTTGGGTATTAAAAATAGCCAGTGGAGTGTGCAGCAGCAGCAGCAGGGGGGGTGACAACGCGTCGTATGAGTAATGCCTGGCAATATGTACATACTTGGTAAATGGTTTGTTCGTGTTTGTTTGCCGGCTTAGCAACAACTCGAAAACCGAAGACCCAACTGGCCCTGCACTTGACAACAACTTCCCCTTTCCGACACAGCCCTCCCCTTGACCCATCCCAGCCATATTACATTTACATTTTGCTCCATCTCCGTACCAGACAATTTGTCCGTGTTTTTCTTTATTAGAGCAACTGATTGATGCACCCATGGGCCCAAGGGCGTCTCTCCCATGGTTCCATGCCCCATGCTTCTCGAGTCCACTAATGTCATGTGTCTTCTCTTGGACAAGTGGCTACCAAATAGAAGAAAAGCAGACGGATAAAAGGGGGGCACTTTGGGGCGGACATAACTGGTTTTGGCCCTGTCCATTGAAAAGGAAAGTCTTCTCCACTGAATGACACTCGATGTTGGACTCTGTTGCAACAACAATTGCCTTTGTGGATCACTTTACCTTATTATATAAGAAAAGAAAGATTTTCCTGCATTACGATATTGAATAAGAAATAAATTACAATTGGTTAAGGAGCTTTACGTACAGGGTAAAGTAAAGTAAAAGCGATTAGAGAGTCCTCCGATTAAAAGGGAATCTATTCATGGAATTTGAATTACTAAGAAATTGCTGCGATAATGATATAACTGTTATGTTATAAGAAAATACAATCAATTTCCTCTATAAATAAGCAATATTTTATTCTTCAACAACTAGCAACCGCAAAATGTGATACTGATTAATCATCAGTATTTGCTTTAAATCAAAGAATTTTAATTGCTAAAATAAAAATAAAATGTTTGCTTCTAGCAAGCATCTGGAATATAAATTCTTGTTCTCTTACCAAGAATTTTGCAATATTTAAATATCTTTTATGACAAAGATAAATTCCATTAACTTCTTATGCCCGACTTGGCCCCATGGTCAAATGTTGTCATCATCCATGAGCTGAGCTCATAACTTCTACTCAGCACACACACTCGCTGAAAGCTAATTCGCCATTGTCCAAGCTGTCAATTAGTCGGGCAGAAGTAATCAAGAAATTCTCTATAAAGTAGAATATTTTATGCAGAATGTCTGCTGGCGCTGTTTTCTTCGTTCTCTTTATATGGTTGGTTTCTTAGTTTTTAGTACAGTGATTGCTCTTTAAAAAGAATGTGAGAATGTGGGCTTATTTTCATAAAAGAATTACGAAATTTCACTGTACTTAACCCCTTGGGTTCTCTTCCTTAGCACTTCTCCCATAACCTTTAATTTTTTTTTTACTCATCACATGAGACTTGGCTGTTGTCTTCCTTCTTCTTTTTCGTAACTTTTGGCTCATCTTTTCCGGACTTTGTTGCTATAATTTATACACTGATAAAAAAAAACAAGAATTTTGGTCATAAAAACGAGATTTTTCGGTCACGAAAATGGCTTAAGCATATTTTGGTCTTCTTTGGATATTTTCGGTCACCTTTTAAGTACTTTTTCATTCTACATTTGAGATTTTTCAATTATTATTTCAATCCTTAAAAAAGTTTAAAATAAGAACGATAAACGACCGAAAATCTTAAAAAATGACCATAACAAGGCTTAAATTAAGAAAAAAAAAAATTTGAATCCTAACGAGACCGGCCTTAGTTAATACTACTAAACATTCGTAATACCAAACATTTTATTGTGAAAGAATTTTTATAATCTGTAATTATAGAGCTAGAAATGATTATTGTAAATTAAATTAGTATTAGAAATTTTATTAAAAGCTACTTACATTTTTTTCCCCGGTTGGGATCCGAACCCATGTCTCAAAATTCACAGACCGACCGCTTACCAACTGGGCCACTGAGGCAAATCAAACACTAATGTCGGGAACGTAAATACATACAGTTCCAAGGACAGAGAAAACAAAAAAAAATGTATCTCCCCCTCTGAGCTAAAAATAGATTTTTTAAGAATGGTCGTAAGAGCGAGACGGCACTATGACTTCCATTTTTGTGTGAGAAAAAAAGAGACAACACTAGAAGCCGTCTCTTCTGAATTTTTAAGATTAACAAAAATCTTAATTTACGATTTTTATTTCTTAAAATGAATCATTTTCGGTATTACTTTAAGATTTTTTCTTCTTCTTATTAGAATATTTGGTCTTTTTTTAAGATTTTTTTTTTAAGAATGCCAAAAAATGTGCAAATCTTAAAAGTAGATTATTTTGTTCGTAAATATACCCTGAAAAATCTCCTTTCTAGAATTTTTGGTCTTATAGTAAGATTTTAAATTAAGAATGCGCAAAATCTCAAAAGAAGATTTTATTTTTTTTATCAGTGTACAGAACAATGTTTCACTCGAAACGCCTCTGTCCGGACTTCTCTTCATATTAATTGACAGATTTACTGCAATTGGCTTTGGTTGTCCAGAGGCAACGACCCGATCGATCAGCAGTTCTCCAGTCCTCGAAACAATCCCCACAGTGTGTCTTCCGTCTGGTGCGTCATTCCATCCAACGGGAAGAAGAACCTGATAAGAGGAAGGTGGTGGAGGAGACAGCAGACACCTTTACCTTTACCTGTGTCCAAATCCTCTTTGGAAACATGAAACTATATGGCATATCGCTATATGTGAGATTACCTCATGCGTTGTTTAAATCGCGTTCAAGGCAGGGCCCAACAAA